GGTCCTCCAGCCATTAGCAGAGCTGTGTTGGCATTTAGGCACTGACAAGCAATTGTTAGATGCCATGTAGTGGTAGGACAAGGGGCAATGGCTTTAAACTGAAAGAGGGGAGATTTTGATTAGATAGAAGGAAGAAATTTTTTACAATGAAGATTGTGAAACACTGGGATAAGCTGCCCAGAGAAGCTGTGGATGCCCCATCCCTGGAAGTGTTCAAGGCCAGGTAGGATGAGGCTTTGAGCAACCTGATCTGGTGGAAATTGTTCCTGCTCATGGCAGGGGGTTGGAACTAGATGATCTTTAAGGTCCCTTCCAACCCAAACCATTCTATGATTCTATGATTCTGTGATCTCCCATCCAGCTTTCGTACTGGCCAAACGAGTGAATTGTAAGGGAATTGGGTTCTGGAAATGATGTGTTGTTTTTCCAAGTCTGCTGTTATATCAGAAATTCCATTTTTGTGCATCAGCAGAAATTGGATACTGTGGTACACTGGTAATTTTTGAATTTGGGGAGTGCAGGGGCTGCGTGGAGTACAAGTACTGTAGCATCCCAATTTGTACTGAGTTGGGGTCAGTACTTGTACCGAAGAACCACACGCTGCTGTCTGGTGAGCACTAGTTTTGACCGGTCAAAACATTGAAACTCGAAATATTTTCATTGTGCTTTTTAGCTGCGAAGCGAGTGGACATGTGCTTCTCGCCTGGGAGCCATAAATTAACTTTTACGATTCGGCAAATTACACTTGCTCTGTTCACTCTGGTGATTTGAACTCTTTGCTGTCCAAATCACATATCCAGTTTCTCGGCATCCTGTTGCATTAGTATTGAAATTTGTATTCCCATACCTATGAGAAATTTCACCAGTTGTCATCGAGGGCCAAATGAAATCAGAAGGTATTCTGCTTTAACGATGGGTCTAGCCTCATATTCAGAGGAAAGTGAGGGGAACGAGGGGTCATCATTTCTCTCATCATAGTCATCAGGATCACTCCAAATATCACCATCTCACCCCTCTGGGGACACTATTATTCCTAATTTCCATGGAGTTAGGGAATGCAGGGTTTGCATGTGTGTCACCAGGTGCCTTGTTGGAAGACCAGTAACTAGCCTGTAGCCATCATGCCAAAAGCACGTCTCAAGTACCACAGAGTCGATAGGCATGGCAACAGAAATTAATTTGCTATCAGCTCAAGCTGTAAGGATTACAGACTGCTTCCAGGGATGGTGCAGTCTACCTCTCCTGCAGGCATTGCTGCTGACCTCATCCGGGAAAGATGACTCCAGCCACAGCCAGAAACAGGAGAAGAGCTGCCAGCTCTTCCCCTCCAACGTAAAGTGGAGGAAGGAGGCTGAGGCTTATGATGCTGGAAAGGATTTTAAACCCGGGCCTCCAGCTCTCTGCTAAGAATGACACAGTGCGTGAACAAGATCCAAAACATCTTTGTTTTTGCACTGCGGGGAAAATGCCAATCCAATGCTTTAGGATCCTCCCCCCTCCTTCAGCCAGTTTCTATCAAAGGCTCCGCAACTGCGGGAACCAGTAGCCTAGAAAATGGCAGATCATTAAACCTCTGCTTGGTTTCCAAACCCCACTGCCACCAGGGAACAGAGGGATTTCGTTTAAAATGCCTTTGAAATATAAGTTGTCATTGAAAGGGCCTGCTCAGCTTGGCTCGGTTTTGTGCAGATAATTACACGCTTCCCCCCCGGCTTTGCTGACGAGGCCGGTACCGACCACTGCGCTGGTCAATGAGGCTAAAAGTGCTGAGCTGGGACAGTCGCTTCTCTCCTCTGTCTCTCTGGGAATGCCATTTCCCAGCGCCGGTGTGATCCCCATGACTGGGGACTCCCTCCTGCATGAAATACACTCCTTCTCAGCACTCGTAGTCATCTCCAAGTGCCAGATACATACAGCCCTGGCTCTTCGGCGAGAAGGTGACATGGTTTTGCCCTGCTGCTATCAGCTGCGTGTGGCTTACAGGGTAGAGGTGGGATAAAATATCCTGTTATCTTGTAGGGCTTCTCTCTGCATCAAGACAGATACCGTCTCGTGCAGGAGGAGATGACAGCGTCTTGTCACCAGACTCACGTATACTGTAGCAGTAGCAGCGGGAATAGGCTTGTCTTTCAAATGTATTTCACAGAAATAAATGTTTCCTCTGCCAACTTGCCGAGCATGGGCGGAGGAAGATGTGTGAATCTCAGCAAAGACAGCTGAGTAACCCTGCGTCTGCAGTCACATGAGCCCATTAGAGGAGTCTTCAGTGGACATAATTGAAATTGCTTTTTTTTTCTTTCAGAAAGGAGTAAATAATAACAAGCTATTCAGGAAACACCTTACTGCTGCTACTGAGAACCTGTTTTCTGGAGTGTAGTATGATCATCTGTATTAACCTTTCCTAAAACTCAAAGAACTTCAAGCAGTTTTTGCCACATGCTACTTGCAGTCTGTCTGTTAGGAACTTGTCTTGTTCAGGTACCATGCGTCCTGCTTAGCTTAAAGTCTCTGTTCAACATATTGGTAAAGCATATTTGTATTGTGCTTTGCTTCGGCTGAGAGATAGACTGCAGTTTACCAGTGCTGACAACTCATTAAATTAGCAGACCTACCAACATGGCCAGGCTTGAAAATTGCGCCTGATGCATCCTGTGTGCCAGACCTATCGCACATTGACAGTTTGCCTGACCTCTTCATCACCTGTGCATGGGTCCAAGGTGTAGAGAACACATGGAGCTGATTTGGCATGTTCAGCAGCCTCTCTCCCTGCATTGTGCAATGCCCATTTACAAGGAAACGGGCATTGCGCAACCTGGGGAGCAAGGCTGCTGAACATGGTAACACCACAGATTGCCACCCCAAGTAGGAGGGAAACAGACACCCAGAGCAGTCCCTGACACTAAAATTGGTAGGGTTGGCAGGCCTGAGCTAGATCTTTAGCTCAAAGGGTGGGTCTCCATGTTTTTGATGGTGAGACTGAAGAACCATCCCTGTGACTCAGTCAGGACCTTAGCAGTAGGAATATTTGTGATGTCTGTTGCTAGGTATTGCCATGTACATCATTGTAAGAAAACAGCTGTGGTTTTGGTCACTCTGAGAGAGAGTTTGGATATAGAGGCACTCACCATGAAGTGGATGGTCCTCTGGGAAATCGCATCGCTGATCTCTCTCTTCCTCGTGTTTTCTTTTGCCTTCCAGGTGTTCATGTCCCATGTCTTCACCCTGGAGGGAAGCTGGACTGTCAGTAGGTCTCCTGCAGTGAGTTGCCTGCACTTTCTTTGCCCTGGCCACGGGTGTTGCACAGGTGGCAGGGAGAAGCATTTTGGCTGAAGATAAGTCACAGTCTAATCGACTCCTGCTGCTGGAATCTGTAAGGACATAGCACAAGACAGCTTTGAATAAAGCAGACGTTGTTCAGTGCACCTTCCCGTTTGTGTGAAAAAAGAAGCATAGGTGGGGTCTAGATACTTCACCATTTAAACTTGATCATATTTAAAATGGCCTTAATCCTTCTTGCTGGATAGTTCTAAAGGCAGCCGTGGCCCAGGCTGTCAGCATTTCCCACCTGCCTGTGACAGGTGACACTGGTGATATCTAGGAAGGTACTGACAGACAACTCATCTGCATGGAATCACCTGCACACTCTTGTTGACAGGACAAACGTAAGAGAAGTGCATATTGGCCCATTTTCATGAAGTGCAGCCATAAGGTTAGACAGATTTGAGCATGGGCGTTATAAACGGTCTCAGTGGGAGCTGAAGGTAACCTCAGCAGTAACCAGTGGAGACATGCTAGGACACCTGACACTGAGTGGTGACGAAATTGGTTGCAGAAGCCACGATCTTTCTTCTGCCGTGATGCTGACATTACCAACACTGCAAAGATCTTTCAGATTAGTTTTCTGCCCTAATGAACGTAGTATGAGTCCTTACTCTTCCTTATAAAGGTAAGTGGACCTTGCAAAGCCATGCACTGAAATATAACATGCTGGGAAGCCTCATGGTTCAAGGGACTGGGCTGTCAGTGGCTGTTAGCATCCCAAGAGAGGTATACCAAATACTCCCATTCTCTTTCTCACTCTTTTCTGCATTAAAGCCTCACTGTCAGCCCCAATTCTGAGTGCTTCATGTGCTTGCTTCGGTAGATGCAGTCAAGGCTCAGGCTTGACTCTTCAGAGACAAGATAACTGGGCCTATGCTGCTTTAATGGCAAACCTAGAACTTGATCTAGAAATCCTCCATGCCCGGATATCTTTGCTTGGAAAGGCAGAGGAAGAGGCAACGCATAAGCATAACGGACCCACTGGGGAATTTAGGTTCCATGGTTACCATGACCCTGAAGCAAATGTGACAGCACAGGTTTGTCTGCTATTGCACTAAAGAACATAAAAATCTTAACGCAATAATGGACTGCACTCCTGAGCAGTGACCCCCATCTAGGCTCCGTGGTTTTCAGCACCTGTGGCTGTTCCACTCTCCCCTCTCATAACTTAAATAGCAGCAGGTGTGAACCACAACAGCTTGTACTGGAGGAAACTCAATTTTTTAATATGCATTTTACTTCTGGTGCAGTATCTAACATTGGCAAAGCATCTAACTTTTTAAACTTTTCAGAGTTTTATTTTCTGAACAAATAAGTTCTATTGGTAACCAGCCTTGGAGTAATGATAATTATAACATCTGGAGACAAAGTACCCAATTCTGCCCTCAGTAAAAGCCCATACAATAGGAATTTTACAGAAGGCTGACACTGACATGAAGAAAATGCAGTTACAAGAGTTCTGGAAACTAGCCAAAGCCTCATGTCAAAAAATGATGATTGTTCAAATGTTATCTTTTCAAATTATCACCAATCTTTGGGTAAACTTCTAGACACAATTGCATGTGTCCAGCCATGCTGACCTTAAAAACCTGGTATGAGGTCCACCTCTGTGTTTGAGGCATATTGTGCAAAACAAGACTAATATAATTCCTTTAGGATCAACTAGGTTTGAGTTTTCTGATGAGAAAACAAGTGAGATTTTGAACAATATTTGTGGGATACAGAAGAATAGACCTGGCAGTGGTCACTAGCATGGGGCTGTGGTTAAATCATTTGCTTAAGAACTCAAGAGAATGTAATTGTCAGCATAGCTTCTTAGCCCAGGATTTCTACCTCAATCCCCTATCCTTAAATTAAGGACTAGTTGCACTCCCTTGCTAGATGTGACGCTGCAAAAATGAGTAAGTTACAGAGCTGATGGTGCTTATGTTCCACAGGAATGGAGAACATAAGGATACCTGAGCAAGGTGCTTTTATGGGCAGTGATTAAAGCTTTCTAAGAATGACACTGACATTTTCTGAGTTGTACAAGACTTTTCATGTCCTCATCCTTCATATACAACTTTTCTCCCCAAAATTTTTCTCTGAAATGCTCGCAGGCCCCAGCAATTAGCACAACTTACGTATGAACATGGATAGAGCAATCATAGACTGAAGAAGAGAAAACAGGGAGGGACGGAAGACTGTCCTAGACAGATGGGAAAATACCAATGTTTCTGCAAACTGGTGAAAAGGATTGGGACGATCTGCTGTTTGATATCAAAGAAGCAAATTAGAGTGGCATGAACCTTGAAGAGAGGCTGGAAAATTAAAGAAAGTTTTCTGGAGGATAAGACTGAAGGCAGATGATACTGAGTTTAAAGCCCATATCTGAGAGCTAGGAGCCCCAAGGTCTAGTCCTCTTTGCACTGCAACCTTCTGTGCTTGTTGTCCTGAACAAGCAAGGAGACTGACATGGTAGCTCTTTAGGCCAGCCAGTATTTTTCAGTGCATATTCATGTGACTCCAGCAGAGAGCTCTGAAAAATACCTACAAATTGGTATAGGGTAAGATTTCCTCCAGGGAATGCAATTTTCTTCTTTTTTTTTTTTTTTTTTTCCCAGAGATGGCAATGACATTTCAGCCTAGCACAACATGAGATATTTGTTACTGTCATGCACAGAAATGACTTTGACTTGTGGCTCAAAATGGTCTTTTTGGCTTGACTTTCAATTGCATAGGAAAGGATGGGAAATTTCAGGTGAGATAGTAAAATTTCTTTTTGGAAGTAGAAGGTTATATCAGATGGCCTAAGTTCCATTTAAGCCTTTTTGTGTAATCACTGAAGAGAGACAGACCTGTTGTAGGCAAAAGGCTTATGATTTTAGGGTCTTACTAAAGCTGTGAACAGAGAAGAGACTGTCTCTGAGAAGTGCAAGCAGCTTTTTATTGTGCTATTTTTTTCTTGCTTCTATACTTTTTTTTTTTAGGTGGATTGTTTTCCCTTGTAATAGGTGGGGTGAATTTGTGATATTTGTGATATTGGCCAGGTGGTATCTGTTCAGTTATATTCCTTCAGCTGTTTCCTCTTTTGCAATAAAGCTGGGCGGAGTGTTGCTAAGGGTGAAGTAAACAACCACCATATTGACATTTGTGTGTGAAGTGGCAGTTGTATTCCTGTTACTTTGCATATCCTTAACATAATGGGGAATAACAGAGGCAGAATGATAAAATTACTGTACATGTTCCTGCTTTTACTATTAATTTCCCAGGTGTAACATCCTCATCCTAAGCTCTCCTTGACTTGATAAAGGACCTCCTGTTGGTGGAACCTCACGGGCAGAAACCGGGGGATTAATGAACAATTATTTCAGATGTACTTTCAAGCACATCGAAATCAAGTTCCCAGGGATTTCAGAAGAAGAATTTCTTTTGAAATACACTTGCTAGTCTTCTCTGTTTAAAATGAAAGAGTTGGCACTAGGGAGGAGATCAGCATTTGCAGGGTGTTTATTTGTGTCCCTTGCAAAGGCCATGGTTACCTTTTCTAGGCACTGCGACAAAAAGAAGAGAGGGAAAGCATAGAGTGAATACTAAAATGTCTTCTTGTTCACTATTCCTTTTTTAACTTGGTAAGAGTCTTTCAAAAAATCAAAAATTTCAATAGACTTCAGATCAACACCTGCAGTTCCAGGTCATCTAACAGTTACATTTGTGCAGTAAACTCACAAATGGCTAATACTGCAACTGGGAAGTCACACACTCTTGGGAAGACTGCACACTCCTTGTTCCAAGTCCCACTGAAATTACACTGACAAAAACTTGTGAACTTAGGTGTCAGGCCCAGTGATCTTTTCATACGTGATCAAGTCTCCTGCCCCAGATTTCCATGAGAGGCTGGCACAGTACCTCACAACATCCTTTTTGTTAAAGAACCATAGAATAATTTAGGTTAGAAGCAACTTCTGAAGGTCATCTGGTTCAGCATCACTGGGTTTTTTTGGGAAAGGACTCCAGGGTAAGCTTTGTTTATATTTCTCATTTCCGATATTCTGCATCTTCCAGTCCTCTGGTCCTACCCATCTCCTCAGCTCTTAATGGCCAGATTTAGACTTCAGGACAAGTGTGATCTTAGTACCTAGACTGCCTAGATCAGCAGACGAGCTAGATGATAATTTCAGGCCTGGGTATTTACTTTGCGGTAGCCATGAGTATGTGTGTGGTGCTAGTTCTTGCTCTCGTATGGTACACAGCTTGGTTCAGATACATACCACATGGGATGCGGGAAATGTTCTTAAAATCCACAGTAAGATATAGAATAGAATTATAGAATCACAGAATAGAATCATAGCATCATAGAGTCATAGAATCATAGAATCATTTAGGTTGGAAAAGATCTTAAGATCATCAAGTACAACCATTAACACAACACTGCCAAGTTCACCACTAAACCATGTCCCTGCCTTTCAGGTCGTTGTAGAGAGTGATAAGGTCTCCCCTCAGCCTCCTTTTCTCCAGGCTAAACAACCTCAGTTCCCTCAGCCGCTCCTCATCAGACTTGTGCTCCAGACCCTCTACCAGCTTCGTTGCCCTTCTCTGGACATACTCCAGGACCTCAGTGTCTTTCCTGTAGTGAGGGGCCCAAAAGTGAACACATTATTTGACATGTAGCCTCATCAGTGCCGAGTACAGGGAGACGATCATTTCCCTAGTCCTGCTGGCCACACTATTTCTGATACAAGCCAGGATGCTATTGGCCTTCTTGCCCACCTGCGCACACTGCTGGCCCAAATTCAGCTGGCTGTCAACCAGCACCCCCAAGTCCTTTTCCACCAGAGAGCTTTCCAGCCACTTTTTCCTAGGCCTGTAGCATTGCATGGGACTGTTGTGCATCAAGTGCATGACACAACACTTAGCACTGTTGAACCTCATACAGTTGACCTCAGCCCTGACCTGTAGTACTTCCTTCTTTGCTGCTGCTGAACTGTTCCGGGAGAGCAGCTGGATTTGTGTCCCATACTGGAATTTTCAACAAGTTTCCTACCTCATTTCAGTTCCCTGACCTTGGCCAGCACTGAGCCAAATTAGATATGGCTGACTATTTACACAACTTGTTTAATGCCAGTGTTATATGGCATGAAGTTGAATGACTTTGATGAAATACAGCAATTACCCCAAGATGTACAGCATAGGGTATTGCACTTCTGAAATAAATAAACCTTATCTGCAAAAATTGGCAGTTCTGCTGGGAAAGCAAAGGGTAATAATCTTAGGTATCTCTTTGCTGTTAGTAAGAAACCAACAGTGAAAAAGCGTCATTTTCATTCTCTTTTTAAAACATCCATGACCAATTGCAAAAGCAATGTACAAAAACGTTTTGGAATATCTCTACGGCTTTCCTGTTTTCCCAGCTCCAGTGACAGTTAAGTAAATCTTCATATATGTATACCATTTTCATTCGTTAACATTTTACATTGCCTTAAGAATATGAATCCAACCTTGCTTTCTAGCAGGGGAGGGAAGAGTCACCACCTTTTCTTGCTGCAGCCACAGTCTCTGGCTGGGCGATGAAGCGAGCCAAAGGCAAGGCCTGACTGTTCTGCCGGCACTGCTTTCAAGGTGAAAAACTAACTGTACTCTCAGGTGGAGCAATTTGGGATGAGACAGTACTGGCAGTGCAGTAACGCAATCCTGGGACCCCGCCACGTCCCGCATACAGATTTTCCAGACCTTTCACTCGGAGCGGCATGCTGAGCCAAGGCACGCAGCGAAACGAGGCTTCGACATATTGATCGCGAAACAGACTTAATAGAAAAAGGTCCTGTCTCTGCCTCGCTTCTCTGTTCCTAGAGAAGAGTCTCACGTGGTTAAAATGCAGTTCTGTGGTCCATGTTACGAACAGCGCTGACTTCATTTTCAGTGGTGTTATCTGTCTCACTTTGGATCCAGTGGCACAAAGCGACTGCCACGGGCCCTCTGGAAAGGACTCTCAGCTCACCAAAACTCACTTGGCAGAACTTACACTGGTGTTTCCCTCCCTTGGCAGACTGGCACCTGGGCTCCCTTGGCACACGGTCCCCGTGACACTTGCACCAGGATCAGCTACGTCCTTGTCCACCCCTACAAACTACCAAGCTCTCACTTGTTTCAGGACCGTATTTAAAACTTGGTCTGGATCTGCTGTTGTTCAGGTCTGATCTGCACTGGCAGCTTTAGGAAACCTTTAAATGCTGCCAATCCAACAGTACCAGTGGTGAGAGAGCCAAGCAATACTAGCCATGGCCGTCAGCAACCTCATCTACTTCTGAAGCTGCCCTTTCTTTGATCAGCAGGCTGGACTTCCAGATGACCTTGAGAGGTCCCATCCAGCCACAATTATCCTATGGTTCTGTGAAAATTCAGCAGCACGCTATCCCTCTTCCCCATACGCGGGTTTCCGTGGAAAGCCACTGGCAGTGGCACAAATGCAGTGGTGGTACACTCAACACCCAACGCTGGGACCTGCCACGGCTGTGAGATGTGTGGTGGGATGGCTCTGCCCCGTGGCCAGGAAATGGGCTCTGCACAGAGCGGGTGGTGTCACTCTGTGTCAGAGGTGAACAAGAAAGTGCAAATCCTGCGCAAAGCGCGGCTGAGGGGCAGTGGCAGTGGGACTGGGCTTGAGCCCAGCTGGTGACTAACGCTATACTCGTGAGTGCAGTGCTCACTTCACTGTAGGTTCCTTCCCCATTTAAGTCTTATTTGCTTTCCAGTCCAGGTCAGCATCCAGTTTGGACACAAATGTAGCTGAAACTATGCGAATAAGCAATGGTTACTTGGACTGCTAGATTTTTTGGAAAACTACTCTCTCCCTGGGAGGTTTATCCAGTGTCCTGGGAAACGGGGTCCTGATCCACGAAAGGATCTCTCTGTGTTAGAAAAAATAAAGTGTAGTATTAAGCTTTGTTGAAAGCAGTCGAGCGAGAAGTGAGTGAAAATTTTCTGTCAAAACTACAGGTCATTTTTCAATTAAGTGGGTGCGTTTGTGTACATAAAACATCTCCTTTCAATGGAAGACATAGATTGGAAAAGAAGAAGAAATACTAAATCCAGAAAACGTTGGCCATTAGTCTTTTTTTAAGGAAAAAAAAAACAATTTCTGTGGGGGTAAAAGTTCGCGCAAGGCCAAAGTAACTAAACTAAGGAAACTGAAGTAAAAAGCGCTAATGTACTTGCTGTTTTGCTAAGATCGAAGTCATGCTATTTTTCTATTAGCTAGTTTTCTTTAGTTCGTGATGATAAGGAGAAATGATTAAACACAAATGCTTTCTTTTTTCTTCTTCCAGCAATTGAATTCTAACACTACTTAGCTACCATTACTCTTATAGACCATTTCTCCACCTTGAGTAGGGGTGGTAGGATTTATCAGAAAACAGAACTGATACAAAATTTGGCTGTAATTCCAGACAACCAACAGTCAGCTCTTGAGTGAAACTCCAACAACTTCAGTAAGTTGCAGTAGTTTTAGGCTAGCTCCCTGAATTTGAATGCCTGTCCTTCCTTATGATTGGAGATTCTTCTTTTTTTAATAACAAGAGTATTGTTTTTTAAAGCGAAGGACACCAGGATGTAATATTTATTTACAATAAGCACTTCTCAGTGATACTGAAGAGCGCTACCTGCAATAACTGCTCACAGGTTGCATACCCATCTCTCCAGTGACACTGGGGCTTCAAAACGTACAAAATCCCACCAAAGGCTGGCAGTACAGACCAGTCTACTGTGAGGCTGAAAGCAAATTATTTTTTAAAAACTATTTCTGTATATATAATGAATGATTTGTACCTGATTAGGGAAATCCCAGATTCCTACAAAAGCTAAAGAATAAAAATTCTATATAATCAGGCGGGATAGCTCTTAAAAAGAAAGGAGCATTTTCATTAAGTATTATAACTGGTACTTACCAAAGGTCAGCGGTGACCCTGTTTTTAGGGCTGGAGATCTCTCAGCATAGCTACTTCTGTTTCTGGTTTCACTGCTTAGGGCGGTGCTGGCAGAAGGTTTCTTTAAGATTTCCTCAATGGAAAAGGACAGGCTGGGCTTCCCCTGGCCGGCACACACCTGGGGGTCCATCATCTTCCTGCCAAAGTGGCCACAGGGCAGAGAGCCCTCTCCTGCTCTCCCGGCTCTCGGTGCACCCCAAGAAACATGCAGATGGGAAGGTGCAGGTCTCTCCCCACCTGTGCCCAGCCAGCCTGCCGGAGCACCAGGAGGAAAAACAAAGGCGACCTATGTGAGTAGGAGTGAGCACACGTGCCTGCTCCTCTCTGTTGATCAGCGTGGGGCTGAGACCTGTGCTCCTGTGCCTGGGGAAGACAGCATTAGAAGTGGGGGTGAAAAGTCTTACCAACCCCACCCACTGCTGAACATTCCCCATCCGGTGCGGATTTACAGAGCCCTGAGCTATCACACAGCTATCCAGGAGGAGATGTGCTCCTCGAAGACCCAGGTGAAAAACGACCTTGGAAGGGTTGATTCTTGTTTGTAAATCCTATTTGTGGGGCAGATATCCTCCTTTGCTGCTTTCAGGTTGAAGTCTGACAAGACCACTGGATTTGTACTATTAAGGAGTTAAGAAAATAATTGGCAGGATGAATACTTGTCCCTCCTGCCCTTTACTAGCAAGAGAGATGCCCTATAAACTTCTCTTGCATACAAGGAGGTGTCACACGTAAAAACCTCCCTCACTGGCAATTCCCAGGTTATCCTCCAGCCATTCCCCCCAGTCATCAGCTTTGGTTCAGATTCTCTTTTCTTCTACTTTGGAAACCCTCTGAACTTTCCAAACAGGTGCTTTTCAACATCATCCCATCTTATCAGTCACAAGAGAAAAAGAGATGGCCCTTGCAACATGCTTAGGAATAGGAATTAGTGCCCTCTACCCCCCAGCTATACTCCTAAAGATAAAACATTATTTTCTTTCTCTCCTGAGCTATGAGGCAAACTAGCTTGATAATCATTCCACCAGCCGCTTGCGCCTCCCAGCCAGGTGTCCACCACAGGGGAGAAGATTTCCTGGATAAGGCGGGTGAATGCCAGCGATTCCTCTCTTGAGCCACTTCTGCCTCCTCGTTAATTTTTACTTTTGGGAAGAATGTGTGGTTAGATACTACTCCCATTCCTTCCCTCTCCCTGCCCCCACTGGCATTTCTTGCCACTTTCTGGGATTGTCCCTCACCTTTTACACTGCTACGGTTGTGCCTCCCTCTGGTGCTGCTTCTCCTCTGCGCCTTCCTTATCATGCTCTTATAATTGTATTGGCAGGCCCTGCCTTATTTGTCCAATGAACTGACAATTCTTGAGCTGATATCCCATCATATGACCTCTTCATGGAGTGGAGACCAAAATTACTGTGTAACCAAGGGGCAATAAACCACACCTGATAAGATGAAAGGCTTTCAGCTTTTTCCAGATTCGAGATACTGGAAAAGTGGTTGGGGCGGTGAGGAAAAGAACAATGAAAGGGGTAAAAAATGGTGCAGCCGGTCGTGATGAAGAATATTTAATTATCTGATTTTACTAATCAAGCCCCTCTCCAGGTGACAGGGTAGACAAGTGAGCGTCTTTCACACTGCTGAAATACACGGGGTAGAGAGTGGGAAGAGATTTTCTTTGTTCCATTTGCATCCCTCTGCCCAGTGGCTCAGCAGAGCCATCTGTGTACAGGAGGATCTCACACCTTCCTGCTTGTGTGATGAAGCGGCAGCTGTTGCATGGGTGCAAAAGGTCTTGCAGTCTTCTCCATAAGCAGAGGACACCTTGCCATTTCAACCGATGGGCGCAGGGGTTTGCCACTCTGGCCAAGGCATCCTCTCCTGCTTTGCTGCCCATGCCTGTAATTCTGGGTGGGCACACAAAGAGGGGTGTCTTCTTCTCTGCTTAGGCAGAATGAGAGAGTGGGTAATTTATGGCTGAGAAGAGGCGACTGTGTCATCTATATGCAGAGGGAAGGGAAAGAAATGCTCTAAATCTACATCCTGGATGAAAACTGCTTATTTAATAACAGGGTTTCCCTTTTTCCTCGTGATTCCTGATTAAAAATCCATGAAAAGCACAGGGAGAAACCTGATGCATTCTTTTACAAAGGCCTTACTTTTTTTTTACTCAGCTTACCAAAGGCACCAAAAAAGAGGTCATTTTTACTTTAATAAGTAAAATGACTTATTTTATTTTAAAGCTTTTATTTTAAAGCTTTTTTTATTTTAAAGCTTTTAAAATAAAAGCTTTTACTGGCTTCCTATAGACCAACAGCTTCAAATCTTACTCACTTCCAAGATGTCATGAGTTGAATGCCCTTGACCCAGCCTTCAGTGTATTAATTTAGCATATATGATGGTGTCTGGACTCTCCGATGTTTACTGTGCTACCTTTTATCTGAAAGCTTCCAGGCACAGGACAACCAGCTCTAGGGACCAGGAGCCTCTGTGTTTTTTAAGCCTCCCCTGCTGTCCATTTTTCCAAAGGGTCTATGTAGGTGTAGGAGTGAAGCCCATGGATTTGTCTGCTTCAGTTGCCAAGTGAAGCCCAAGAAAGGACACGTTTTCCTTTGCTGTGGAAAGCTTTGGCTTTAGTTTGTTTTTGAAGCCTCTTTATGTTCAAGGGGCTAATTTCTTGGTGCAGGGGGAGGAGGAGGAGGATTTCCTGGGAAAGTCTGATAGGTTCCAACACTGCTTATGAGAGGACTCATATCTTTGGAGGTCACTGGCAGGGTAAATTAGCCTAGAGACTCTCAGGGCAAAAAATACAGCTCCTATCCCTCCTCTTTGCTCCAGCTCCACTTTTGCTGAGTTAAATACACACCGTTTTGAAAGGAAGAACCGTAGCCTTCTGGCAGTTATGTCTCTGTGAACACTCACACCAGCTCCCAAAGAAATACATGTGCCTCTGTGTTAAAAATTTTCTGCAGAAAAGACAGCTCAGACAGGCACACTCCAAGTTTTTGCCTCAGTGAAATACCTTTATTCAAGGATCGCATTGACAACACGTATCAAGTCAAACCAGAGCATCTCCATATCCAGAGAACATGTGCTGCCTGTCTCCACCACCCACGACTTGCTGTGGGTAGGCACCTGCTGAGACAACACTGCAGTCCTATGTCACAAAATCAAACCGCATGTATTTGTATAACTATTCTGTCTTAGTGTGCAGCTTCAAACCTCCCTGCTGCTTGCAGGGACAAGTTGATTTTCTGTGTGCGTTTAAATGAGATGCGCACATGTGAATTTACAACTTGAAAGCTTTCTTGTGAAGGCTTTATTTTTGTTCTGTCTTATTGTATTGTTCTTTTTATTAAAATTGAAGGCAATGTCAACTCAGAAATATATTTTTGTGCTTCTATATGGAAAACCACAACAAGCACTAAAGTAGGAAATGGGATGAATAAGTGACAACTCTTGAAAAGGGATTAGAAAGCAGTAGTGTAATGATGCATAAATCTCATGTTTTGCATACAAAAGTTTCTTCAGAAAAAAATGCAGATTTGGTATCAAAATGTTAAAGTAATACCAAAAGATTTTAACATTTTAATATTTTTTACCACAAAAATGGAAAAATAGTGATAAATGCTATTTCATTAAGTACAAATTAAATACTTTCTTTGCAATGACTGCTAGTTTGGAATTTCTTTGATTTGTATTATGTTAAAATAAAGATGAGTGGGAAAAAATAGAAGCTTGAAATGCAAATGAACATTTTGCAAATTAAAATAGTTCAGTTGACCCCCTTTTTCAAATGATCAAGTTGCTGAAACATAACAAATTATTGATGTTCAAAACAAGAAATTATTTACTTTCAAATTACCAAAGAATGAAGATGTTATTTTTCTGCCAAGTTCTAATACGATGGCTTTTCTAGGGTAGTTTGGGGATATTTTTACATTTCTGCTTGACCTGGAAATGCAGATGACTCTCATTTGTTACAATTATTGTGCTACCTGTCTAATTTAGTCTATAAATTCCTTGAGGCAGGAAGCATATCTTCCCCTGGGGTTGCTGAGCTCTGAAGGCAACTCTTTATACCAGAAGGCATCTGTCTAGAACATAATCATGCCGTCTTGATTTTCTCAACTCGTCCTGACTGTGCCAGGCAAATCTAGAGGTCCACAAAACCTGTGAGGCTTTTAAACTATGATGTGCTTTCAGAAAGTGAAAAATCCTGGACGTGCGGACTTGAAATCAACTTGGGATCAATACCTGGGAGTTTTTTGTCCTATATTGCCTGTCTCGAAGAGGAAGAAGAATTGTTTTTACGCTATCAGTCAGGACACATGACTGTTCCTGCCCCACTGGTCTCTTCCTCTGTATAAAGACAATAACGGGACAATATTCCACCCAAAGCCTCTGAAACATCTCCTTTAAAGCTCCTGCTTTTGTATGCGACTCAGAGTCAGAGCTGCCTAGTGTTTACACACAGCATGGATGCTATAGCTCACACTACCTCATCTCTGAGGGCTTGTGCTCAGTCAGCTGTTCAGAGCAGTCAGAGGCACCAGTGCATAGATGTTCCGGCAGGTGCTAGCAGCTGCAAATTGCCCACATCACCTCTGGAGCCTCATGTCCTTGTAGGTTGTCTCCCATCCTTTACGCTTTACTGGACTCTGACAATCTCCCCCATGACAGCTGAGCCGCTCTGATCTTCTCGAAGTTCAACAGCTGGCAACGATCTAGCAGAAAGTCCATGCAGCCTGCCTTCTGGAGTCCTTTTAACCTCAGATTTATTAGCCCTGTTGTCTCCCTAGATTTCTCAACAAGCTCATAAATTAGAAATATTAATAAAAGGGACACAGTAGGTTTAAACTGATAACATTTATTATGCTTTTTTAATGGCACAATTATTATCAATTAACATTTTAAATGGCATTATGATCCATCAAGGTGAAATGGACTCAGAAAGATATTTCTCCCAGGCTAAAAATAATAATAACAGCAGCAGCAGCAGGACAGCAAGAAAGAAAGCACACAAGCATTTTGAGTCCAGGTCACTGATTACATAGTTTGGAGGTGGTTTTTAGCAACTTCACTCTCTGTTTAATCTATTTTTGTATTTCATAATGCTACTTCTCCCCTGCCAGGCCCCTC